TTCGATGAATTATCGGCACCACGCTCATGCAGGCTAGAAACGTGCACTAGTCGAAGTAAAATTCGTTGCATAAAATGCAACTTTTACTTGTGCCTTTCGAGAGGAAAAGATTGTTTTAGCTTGTATCATACAAAGAGCGATAATTAATCATTAAATATTTTAATAATTTAGTTATTTAACTTGGAGATCTCAATTGTTCCTATGTTGATTATTTTTAAGTTCCAAAAAGATTAACGCTATGCAAAATTATTTTCTGTTTAGAATGTTTTTCTTTAGATATTATATTGTTAAGATAAATACGTTAGATACGGTAAAACTATTAAATATTATAACAAAAAAATAAACAACATTGATTATTTCAGTAGTGTTTTCAATTTCCTAATTTATTTTCTTAGAAGTCACGTTCGTGACGATGTCAAACTTTTCCTAATCGTCACAATCGTGCGGGTTATTTTTACAGTTATTCAGAGGTATATGGTTTTTTTACCAGTTTTTCTAGGTTCTCTGAACCTTAAATAACTAGAAATTACAATTTATAAATTAATTGAACAGAAAAAAAAGATCTCCGGTTGTAAAGGGTTAATAGGATGTCGACTGTTCAATCTTTCTGTCAGTTCAATCGTTCTGTTCCTAAAGGTGCGCTTACACGAGGGCTATAATTGCTCGGCGACACGAATGGACCGATCTGGAGCAATTTCAAAGCAATGGAGCAAATTGCGGAAATTATTTCGGCGATATTGCTTCTAATTGCTCCAGATATTTCATATCGCTCAATGTCGTAGATACGAATGGACGAATATCCAATGGGCTTGGAAATTCCTAGCAATTTTTGTATATATCTCATTCGCACTTGTTTTTTTTGCGGCTTGCCGTCTTGCTTCCGCGGGGAGAGCGTGAGGTCGGGTCTGTTCGTGACATTCTAGTAAAGTATTTGAATAATATATCATCTAATTCTTTACACAATGAAAATTGCGGCCTCTTTGCCAAAAACGATCGCATGCAGATAAGCCTATTCCTTTTCTTTCTTTTTTTGTTTTTGATTAATAATAAAAAAAGCGCTACAAGCCGCCGCAACAAGAACAATGTTGTCCATAGCGAGCGAATACTGAAATGCTCGTGTAGGACAGTATAGACTAGTTGATGAAGTTGCGCCATTTCGCTCAATATTGTATTGCGCGGTATTGATGCTTGTTGCCGTTGCCGTAAATTGCTTGAAGTAGTCGTGACGTCATAGTTGACGAGTATTGACTGGAATTGAGCAATTTTAGTTGTCCGTATAAGCCCACCTTTAGGGTATGGAAAAGTAAGATATTATTACTTATAGGTATATGTAGATAATTAAGTACGTAGTTACTAACGTCATATTTACAGATTAATTATTTGATTAGCGACCCGACTATATATATATATATATATATATATATATATATATATATATATTTATATATTAAGCTATAATACCAAAGACCTTAAACAACCTTCAGTGTAAGTAGACCTCCCAGCACTAGTGACTCCCTAGTAACGCAAGATCAGCATATACTGGTTAACTGTTAACCACTTGGTCGATAAAAAAAGAGATTGAAAATAGCAGCACTTCTCATTGCCACTCTTTCATTAATAATGCCGTCGCGTGTCGCATGTTTGTAAATAGCAAAAAAAAAAGTGAAACAGACCAAGTGGTAAAAAAATCTTACAACCGACTTTAATATAAATAAAACGAGAACATCATCAATGTAGTCGAAGTTAATTAAATAGGTACGCATTATTAAGGATAACTCCCATACTATGGTCAGATCTTGATCAAATTTATATGAGATACATGAAAAGCACCAGCTTTCAAATAAAAAATAAAAGATTCATCAAAATTGGCTCACCTAGAAAAAAGTTCTGAGGTAACTCACATAAAAATACATTGGAATTGAAGACCTTCTCCTTTTTTGAAGTCGGTTAAAATGGTAAGTAGATATATTATCTAAGTTTCAAAGACGTTTACGTTGTTATAATCTTAATTTTTCTCGATATTGCATATTAACCTTCCCCAGATTGAACAATAATGTTCTTATTATAAGCAAATTACTAAAACATTGCATAACACCTCGTTGTATTCTACTACCAACTAATATCAAAGGATTCAATTTGTTTTCTTACAACACCTAACCCTACAGTAGGAGCGGCCTTAACAAAGGCGCGTAAAGGACTAAGTGATACAGACACTCGCACGCGGTCGACCAGGCGGCCGAATAGGAGCAGGCGACACATCTTGCAGCCAATATTTACAGTCAGACATATTTAAAAAGATCTAGCCACAATACTTGTCTTCTTAATGCTTGCAGCGCTAAGTGTTTTTTGATACGGCGCCATTTACGAATACAGATTTACCGACGTTCAGCCGCAAGGACTACGATACGTTGACTAAAACAGCAGACAATGTCTAGCCTGATTACTGAACGACTAGTTAGGTCCACTTTCTTTAACACAAAAATTCTAGCCACAATGCAAAAGCGCTATTGAATGTTTCGGTATTAAAGACAACCCGCTGCATTTGTTCGTTTTGTAATGCATGGCATTTTAAATTCAGCATTATCAGCCGCATTGTAGAACGCAAAAAGCTGATACATTACGACTAGGTGTTATACGTCTTATTTCTATTTGGCTACGTCATACGTTCGTACCGACCGAATGCAGTCGAAGCCACTCCCTCCCGCCGGAACCGAAAACCTTTTTAGATTATTATTTTTGTGATTTCGATCTTTCCTTCATACTTTTACGAGCTTGTTACGAACGTGTTATACACGAACATACATACATACGAACATGTTAAATTTTATCCTGACTTATAATAAATTCATAAACAGTTTCTAATAATAATTTTAATACTGCAACATCTAAGGCGTATTTAAAATATTGAAATCAGCTTATTTATAAACTATACTAATAGATATTTACAAAATTATACTACATTATTTTTTACAAAAAAATTACCTTTTTAGCGATATCGCAGTAATTGTTCAAAATGTCCACCGATTCTTTCTAAGCACAAAATAGTTTTTTACTAAATTAAATTTGTAAATTGTTTGTTAAACTTTCACTACTACTTTGTGCTTTTTCTGTGTACAATAATCGTTTTAGTTTGGCTCATACATAAAAGTCTAGAGGTTTTAGGTCTGGTGATATCGCCGCCCAGTTCACAGGTCAGCCGCGAACTACCCACTTATCACCGAATTGGCTGTCCAGATATGCGCGCACAGATTGTAATGAGCTGGACATCCGTCTAGCTGGAAGTACATACTTTGCAGATGGCTCAGAGGAATGTTTTCCAACATTGTATGAGATAAGTTACTCCCGTCAATCGACCTTCAATCCATATTGAATGATGTTGTCGTAAATGATTGCCGCCTAAACGTTAACACTAAAACGAACTTGATGAGCAATTTCTTTGATTTTGTGTGAGTTTTAGAAACTTCACCAGTGCTCATTGTGCACGTTGTAAATATCGACTCGTCGCACTGTCTAAGTTTACACAAGACAAGACATAAAATCTCGCTATTGCTAGATGCTCGACATTAGAGTATTGGTATTTGGTACATATTTACGATAACTATCAGTGGGCGGCCGATATACACACGCGGAAACAAACAATACGACATCACGCCGTAGCTAATCACAGGTCACTGAAATGAAATGAGACCGCGGGTGGTCTTGCCCTTGCGCCTGCAACCCTGCGAAAGGACAAGGACAAAGAGGTCTACGACAGGTACAGCAAGTGCGTTACAAATTCATTTTTTAGTTGTTGCTCGTAAAGTAGGGTGCGTATGATTTTAATTTCGATAGTTTTTAATTTATTTATTTATTTAGTTCGATATAATTTATGTTTTAATTTTTTTTGTACGGAAAGTTTATTTCAAATTAGTAGTATTTATTGATAGTTTAATTTCATAATGTTAATGAAAAAAAAGTAAAATATCAGTGCTATGGTATGCTATATATCACTCCCTATTTTTTTCCAGACGGTAAAAAAATCATCCGTATGATCGAAAAATCAACGGGTTAGATCATCTACGTCTAGTAACACTTTTATTCGGGTTTTTCGAACATCGAGATCATGACACATCTCAAAATTATTTTCTTTATTTGATTTTCTTGACGAAAGGGTATAATTAATTAATTGAAATATGAAATGAAACTGCATATAAATTTTTAAGATTTTAGTTCAAAATAATCCAATCCAAAGCAAAATTAATATTTTAGAACACAAGTAATATGTGTATCAGTCGTTTACTTGTGTACATGTTAAAAAGTAAGAAGTGAATTTTGTGTGTATCGTTTTATTTCAGTTGTTATTTAATACGCTAAAAGAACTTTACAATTATAGTTTTATAAGAATTTAATCAAAAAACAGACAAAAAGCTTAACATGTACTGTTGTCATTATGGTTAAAATATGCCATTGCACATAATGGATTACAGAATTAGATACATATTGACATAGTGCGTTCCACATCATATGAAACAAAAGAAGTAAAAAAAGCCAATTCACTTAACTAAATCAGTCAATGTTCTATCTACCACTAATGTTTTGTGTTTATACAAACACAAATATAACTTATAAATTACTGTGAAGGATTCAAGCAATTTGTATGGACTTATTTTTAATTAAGGCGATAATGTTATATCATTTTTTAATAACGAGTAAATACACATAAAATTATATATTTAACGTTTTAAGATACCAAAGGTTGGAGCAAGTGTTATTACGAATATCTGAATTCTAAACAAAAATTTATTGTTGATAGATAAACAACTTTTGGTCTAAAAGATTTTTGAGAGTAATTCTTTCACAAATGCATACAAAACAATGTATACAATGTATACAAAAACTAGGTATCTTTTCAATATAATTTCGCATTGAAAAAACACGTTTCAATTAATGTGGAATGACTAATTTAGTTGTTGTACTTTATATTATGTAAATGTGATTGTAAAAACTCATACACTAGAATTTTAACCAAATTGGAAGTGAAATGCAGAACCAGAGAATCCTCCCGTGAAATCACAATGTTGACCGCGGTTAAAGAACGTCTGGAACACGACGTTAGGATCGATATCTGGAAAATAATAAGGTTCAAGTCAGACATATTACTTCTCATATCGCCTTATTTATTTATTTTTAGAAAATAAATACTTAAACTATAATGACAGTAGAAAAAAATTAAATAATCTATAAATGTGGATGTGCCAACCAAACGATTTCAGCACGGCCTAAAACGACGGCATTACGCCATAAATACATTATGTGTGAAAAATCCTTTTGTTAATTCATTATAGCCTATCAAGAAACCATTGCTGGACGAAAACCTCCGCCATATATTAACTCAAAGATATTATTATCATAGATATATGTTTGCAATAGTTGCCACGCTTGGCAGGCGGGTGGCAAACGCAGGTTTTTTATTAATTTGAATTATAGAGAAGATGCTGCTACTCATCTCCTATTTCATTCCGCTTAGTCGCCTATTACGAATCCCAAAGGTTTATAAGGAGAAGTATATTCTCTTACGCCGCGACTACACCAATGATATATAAATTATAAATAGTTTAAGAAGACGTTTATATGTTTATAGTCCCCGAGCCAGGGTACAAATTTTGTCAACCATTTCCAAAATGCTTCAGAGATATTTGTTTCATGAAGCTCCGTGAACGTCAGCTGCGGTTCGGTGGGTGGGTTAAACAGGGGTAGCTTCCCACGTTCGTTGAAAAAAAACTCCTCCCGATTGAAAATTCGTCAAATTATAGCTAATCCAATATTTTGAGGAAAAAAGGCAGCTGACTCTGAGTGGTGGATAATACTTAAGCTGGTTACACGAACATGAAAAAAAATATGTTCAGTAATTTATTCTCAATTAAAAACTTATCAGATGACTTTGATTGATTTGACGTTGATTGTGAATAAATAAACATGTCAATCATGCAAGCAATCATTTCAGCTGGCAACATCTCGCTTAGAAGATTGGCAGCTGAGGCCCTGAAGGGCAGGAGCCAGATAGAAGCATCTATCGCCGATTTAAATGCACCAGCTGACGAGTTTTCCCTCAGCATCTTGCTAGCTGTTTTTTTATTACTTACAGGATCATATTAACTATCAGCTTACAAATTTACATCCTGGAGAAAATAAAGTATCTAAAGTTATTCGATATTTTATTATTATATAGATTATGCTTCATGCTTTAACGGAAAGATATAATCTTTTTGTAATGTTTCGATGACATCAATATTATTTATAGATACTTTCGAATTAATAAAAATAGAAATAAATAAATTAAGGAATACTGTGACAATCTAATCAATAATTGATAATTTATTAAAACTTAGATTCAAAGTGCATAAAGTTATTAAATTTAATTACTGTCAGAGTCACTGTTAGAGCTGTCTACCACCTTGTCTTCATTATCGTTATCTGTACGAAAATACAAAGAAATTCATGTAATTTTAACGTAATAAATAACAACGGTAAACGCTTTGAATATTAAACCAATGGAGGTAAATAATAAGAATAATAAATCATTTATTCTGGACCAAATCTTTTGTAAGTACATTTTTCACACCCACCAAACTGCGTAACAGTTTGTCGGCGGGTATCGCGAGGCATACCCCTCTGTAAAAGGCTATATAAAGCTAGTTGCTCCACGTCGTGCGCCATTCAGCAAGTCAGGGGTATGAAAGTCCTCAGTAGCTTGCTTTTACATTGAAATTAGCACCATCACACAGTCATTAAAAGCACTTTTTTCCCTACTATTATTATAAATTTTATTTAAAAGAATCACGCCATTAAAGTTTTAAAACAAAGCAAATTTAATTATGGTAATGTAATAGATACCGTATAGTAAGTTTTATATATTTATATATTATAGCGATAGCGAACTAGTTAATTTCTAACTATTAACATTTCCTCTTATTTATTAAAATGTACAAAATAATACTGAACCAAGTTGATAGCGCCCTTTAGTGTATTTTTCGGTAATTTATAATCTCAACGCAATCTATTAGAACGCAGAAGAAACTTCCCTCGTTTCGTTACCAAATAATTTATTAGATTGGCTCATCTATGCCCTATATATTATAGTATATTATCTATGCCGCAAGTGATCGTGCCAGTTAATCAATTGAGCTCCGACAAAAATACCGCCGAATTACCGTTAAATATAAAAGGACAACGTGATTTTTCACTGTGAATATTTTTTACATAATATTATCGTTAAAATTCTTATTTTCTGAATATTTTCGTAAAATACCAAGTGTTGTCATGTACAAAGTGTTCATGAAGTGAAAAATAAGCGATTTTAAAATAAATATAGTTTACTACACAAAATATTATCTGAGGAATCGTTAATTCCTCAGACCACGGGGAGTGCTCTGAGGAATGTTAACTTCATTAGAGCACTCCCCGTGGTAGATACGATAAAATACGCAAAGAGATACATCTCTTCGCAGTGCCAGTGAGTCACGACGATCGGAAAGAGCTCGGTCGCCGGCAATTTGAACTGTTCTGCGCTACGATATTTCCTATTAACTAAATCAGTTTATGATGAATAACAATCATTACAAAAAGACGTGTAGTAGATTTTGTCAAATGATTTAAATATTCAGCTTAATCTCAACACGATTCTGAATATTATTATTTTTTTATAGTAAAGGGGTGATAAGTATAAATATAAATGATAAGCATATATAATTTAATGTAATCGATAACCAGTATTTATCAAAATATTATACAAAATAAAAATCAAATAAGTCGATTCGATACTTGCCACTTCGTAGCAGATGTATGCAATTTTTTAAATACTGAAATGTAGTGATGTACTCTACAACTTTAGCTATCGATAAGTTAATTAACCCTTCAGGATTGTCTGTAGAACAGGTTTTTATTTTTGTTTAGATTTTACCATGAAGTATTAAAAAGCAGTAAATTATTCTATTATTGGTTTGATTTTACATATTTCCAAGAGACCCTCTTAGGTGGCAGACTTGGATTGCAGCTTGTAGAAATTATGACATTTTGGATACCTAAACGGATTAGCACCATTTGCTGGGAATATTTTGATAAATCATATTTTATACTCCAAGCTATCAATAAAAGAAAGTTTGCCGATACTGCTGTAACAACCTTGAAATTGTGGGAGGTAATGTCTAGCTATAATTATATCAATAGATTAAATATTTTTAATATTACCCTTTACACGAATATTATTCTTCTTAAAAATATTTTAGAAATTTGATAAGTTTACAATAATCACTTCTTATATTTACGCGAACACTACACGTTAAATGAAACTAATTTAACGGGTTTTATCGCGTAAAGTTTTGAGTTTCATTCCCGACGTTTTGGGTGGTTTACAGTACGAACTTTAATGTCGCACCTTTGACAAAATGCGGCACGTGCTGTGGCAGGAAGGCTGAAAAACGCCCGTTTTCGATATAATAAGTAAATCTGAAGAATTTACCGAGTGTTTCACACAATTGCCAATGCTATCAGAGCAGAGAGAAGACTTTTTGGCAAGACAGAAGAGTTTGTTTGTCATGTATAGCTTGAAAAGAATAAAAAAAAATTATGAGACAAGAGCGGCGTTGCTTCAAAAAACATACAGAATCCTTGATAACTATGACTCGTTCTAGTTCCCGAAAGAAGGAATTGATGGCTCGTCTCTGCCACTATCCAAATAGGAACTATCATCATTTTTTAAGAACATGTTACATAGCGCACATTTGGTCACACGCATATCTGAAAGTCCCAACTAATAATGAACCTTCAGACTATGGCTGGGTAGAAATCAACAACAAATATTAATTCATATGGTTTTCTGGACGAAAAAGTTAACATATTTTTTTAATTTTAAACATGTCGAATTGTCGTTTATTATGTTTACCATTGTTATTTATTACATAAAATATAAAGACGATACTGAAGACATGGTGGTAGACAGCACTGACAGCGACTCTGACATTAAATCATAAGAGATGAGAGACGCGCCAAAGCGAAAATCAAAATGATTTAATTACAAAATGAAATTTAATTAATTTTTTAAGTAAATATTACAAAAAACATACCTTAAATCTAAGTCTTAATAAATTATCTATTAATTGATTTGTTTATCACATTATTCCTTCTTTTATTTATTTCTATTTTTATCAATTCGAAAGTATCTATAAAGTATATTGATTAAATCGAAACATTGCAAAAAGATTATATATAATCTTATAAGACATATCTTTCAGTTACGAGCATAATATCGAATAACTTTAGATACATTATTTCCTATCTATTATTATAATGAGGATATGAAAGGAAATGGTTAAAATTAATTTGTTTTCAACGTGCGTGGGAGGCTACCGCTGCCTAACCCACCCCCACCCAACGCAGCTGACGTTCACGGCGCTACATGAAACAAATGTCAAAAAAAAGTATTTTACAAGTTATCGCAAGATAGAAACTTGGTCATTTGGTTCGCGGACCATTAATTTGATTAAAAATGTATTTTACTTATGCTGCAGTTTTTTTTTTGACCAATTTACAATGGGGTCCTGCAATTTCCACGTGGAATAATGGTTACCGCATTATTTGTATTGTTTGATATTTGATTCCATTTTTCTTTTAAAATAAGAAATTTAGCAGACAAACTACATTGAATGCAAAAGTACTAATACACAAAACTAAGACACCCGATTTTTTGTAGTCAAACATGTAATATTAAAAAATATACTGTAGAACGAATTAGTCACCTGATTGTTCAATAGTCTTGTGAGATATCGTTATATATCATTTACCGACGACCATTTATTACGTCAAGTATTGGATGAGTACCTTTTGTCTTTTTACGATATTATGTAATAGATAATTTTTCAGCAGAGCCCCCCTTGCGGTAATGTTATATATAACGTGTAAATAGAGTGGATACCATTGACACAAAAAGGTTTTTTGATACATAATGTATTTTTAAATATACGCAGTGGCAGTAATGGAAGCGTTTGGGTGGCAAGGCCACCCTAATGGCGGGACAAATAATCCTAGAAGGGAGTATACATTATATTAGTGCACACCTCCAATACCAATTCAGGGTGGGCGAGTACGCTATTTCTACAAAATGTATACACAAATTACATTGCAATCTCCTCGTCCTCATCGAACCATAGAATAGTAAAGAATAATTTTATAATGATTTGTAGAAAGAAGTAATTTTGAGAAGTAACTCATTACCATATCACATAGGTTTTAAGTATATGTATTATGCAGTTAAGTGTGTCATAAATATCGTCTAGCGAAGAATTGATCTTTTTTTATAGAATACGGGTGACAAACGAGGGTCCACCTGAGGTGATGGTAAGTGGATGCTGTGAACCATAGACATCTAAATTTTTCCACGATTAAGAATAAAAATGCAGATGAGTTGTCACCCCTCAGGATTAAGATGGAATGCGTCGTTTCCAGCATACCCTTTATTCTCCAGTTTTCTACACTCACCATACAAAACACAGCAGCATCAGTCCGCTATTTTACGCTGACATTATTTGAGGGCGTGGTCCTACCCCGGTCGAGGCGACCTATTTGTGTTGCTACACCATAATATTATAGCTGCAGTGTGGCTCTACCACGTATACAAGGTCTATCCATCCTATAATAAATACAAAAATTGTGTCAACATGTTTAGTATGACAATCTAGTACAGAACTGTGTTTTCAGTCTCTTTTACAATACCCGGCGATAAATATTGCACATCGACCTTTGGAAAGAGACAATCAGCTAATTTCGATTTCATAGAGAGTTATTTCTGTCGCACGAAATACGAACAGTCCGTCAGTCAGTGTGCGACAGAGATATGACTGATTGTCTCTTTCCAAAGGTCGATGTGCAATATTTATCGCCGGGGTATTGTAATGTAATTTGATTGTTATGTTTTATTATATATATATAAATATCATTTCTGGGTAACTACGTACTTAACCCAGAAATGAGATTGCCCACAGCTAAGCAACTCCTTGAATTCAAAAGATATATGTAGACTATAAGGTAAAGGTATAGAAGTATAGGGCTTTGCAGTGAACTATAGCTATAGCGGTGATCACAATAGATCTTACAGGTCGCAATAATACTGGTCTTTTTAGACCTGGCATGGCAGCTTGCACAGTAAGAAAAAGCCTGGAGTGATTGAACCGCGCGTAAAGTGATTATATGTATGTATGTATGTATGTTGTATGTGTGGGTGTGTGTGTGTGTGTGTATGTGTGCGTGCGTGCGTGCGTGCATGCGTGCGGGCGTGTGCGTGCATGCGTGCGTGTGAGTGCGCGTGCGCGCGCGTGTGTGTGTGTGTGTATGTGTATGTACTGACCGGCGCCGCCGCAGCCGTCGTCGAGGTCGTGTCCGTGGTCGTAGCGCGCGCGCTTCTTGGGGTCGCTGAGCACGCCGTACGCCTCGCCCACCTCCTTGAAGCGGCGCTCCTGCTCGCGCCGCTCGCCCTCCGGCGCGCCCGCGTGCCGGTCCGGGTGGTGCACCAGAGCACGCTTCCTAAAACCACACCGCCCAAACATCTAAATTCACATTGTTCTTTTACTTATTATAAGCCAGTGCTCGACCTCAATTGCACCTGGTGGTAAGTGGATGGAGTCCTAGACGGTAAATCGCACTGTCTCAGCGTAACAAAAACCTATTCACTCTGGCTTTGAAGACTTCCAGATTGTATTAGTACGGAAAGACGGTATCGTCTTTCCTGGAATAGTGGTGTTGGGAGTAGTGGTGCCGGGAATAGTGGTGTTGGGAGTAGTGGTGCGGGGATTAGTGGTGACGGGATTAGTGCACGCAATTGAGGGAGGACGGGAGGCGCTCTTCATCCAGGTAAGACACATTATTGTATATACTTAAGCGGAAGGTTGCGATAAATTAAACGCGATAAAATCCGTAAAAGTAGTTTTAATCAATGTGTAGTGTTCGCGTAAATATAAGAAATCATTATATTAATATCTTTATAACTTGTATTATGGAAAATCAAGATCGTTTAGTCTAGTATAGTTTAGTTGTATCATAGTGCGAGCGAATGAACAGATATGAAAGAAATTATCGCTCGCGTAGTTCGCCGCCCGCTCGGTGCGTAAAATACCTAAATTTCTGTAACGCCGAAATGTAATGCCCCATTTACACTCAGCCACTGCCACTGCTCCTGTCGCTGCCGGAAATATTTCCCTAAATACTTCTGCGACAATAACGACGCGAGTGGGTGTTCACACTCAGCCTTCATACTTCTTTATTGATCAACTCTCAACAATGACTGACGTCGAATTTGTTGGTGTGACAGCATTATGTCTGTTCAGTATAATATAATAATTTCAGTATAATATAAGGTCATATGTGCAATTTATGGTTTTTATCTTGAGGATCTTATATTACCCGCTGCATTTCATACAATCCTAAAATTTTCATTGTTCTATCATTACTAAATATCATTAAAACACTGGTCAGATTAATAAACGAATTGACGTTTTTAAATGTAGCACGTTCTTTCTCGGTCGAACTTCGGCAGCAAGTGAGCAGAATGTGAACACTTACTGCTGCTCGCAATGCCCGTCCTTTGACTTCCGCACGAAAAACCGACAATTGAGGGAGCGCCGGGCAGTGGCAGCGGCAGCGGCAGTGACAGCGCGAGTAGCCTATTTACATACTGCCCTGCCTACTTCCCTTCTCACTTCCCTGCCCAACAAGGCTGAATGTAAATGGGGCATAAGAGGGCTCTTAATAAGAAACTAAATATTTACCCTATAGCATATCTTGAATGTTAAAATACACTAGAGAAATAATTAATTACAAAAAATATGAAGAAATCGAGAGTATCATTCATTACTCATAAGCGCAAATGAGTGCTAAGCAACTTTTGGTGACAGAGAAAGTTATTCATTGAACAATGATAACTTCCGATCCCAAGACACAGTCGTAGGGCTAACAAACCAATATGTGTGATATTCCAAACTATAAAAAATATCACAAGGGTACATATTCAATACACACATACGCACCAACATACACGCATACACACACTCGCGCAAGCGTGCACACTCTCACAAACACCATATTTTGTAACTCTAAACTCGTACAATAATACAATAACAATCTGCCTGTATTATTTTATACTTTTATAATTTAATAACTAACTTTCTATTAGTTTTCAACTCAACTTAATGTTACAGACACATTGCTTGAACGTTGATGTCTTCTTCATGTACATATGCACATGGAGGTTTCGGGCCTCGGGGGGGGTAAGCCCCCATTACCCGTGCTGTCCTCGCGGTCCACCACTATGGACCGGTCCTGGGAGCCTTCTATTGGCATTGTAGGTGTCAAAAATTCGGATTGTCCGTAATCGGTAAAATTTTTCGTAGCCGGTTAAGACTACGAAAAAAGAAGGTTATCCAGTAAAGTCGAGGTTGGCCTTTCAGCGGCATTGAGGGTTGTTACTCGACTCTCTAATCGATATAGAGAGGAGTTCTCTTGGATAGGGTCGCCCGTCCGGAGGGCGAGTGTGTAGCGGCGCAAAGTTGTTAAGATGTATATGCGGCCCGTTGTCTGCACGGTCGAACAGTCCGCGCGCCAACCGGGCCACAAATTCCTGTATGGTGTCGATCTTCAGGTTGGCCGCTATGACGTCATTCCGGACGTAGCGACCCGCACCGACGATGGTTCTTAACGCCATGTTTTGCTGGGCCTGCAGTCGCCGCCTCAGAGGCTCACTCAGAAGCGCGTACCAGGCCGGAGCAGCATAGGTGATGATGGCTCTGATATAGGTTTTATATATACGCACTTTAGTATTAAGTGGTAACTTGGATGCCAGGACCGGACGTAGCATCGCCCGCGCACATCGTGCTCTACGGACGACGAGGTCGACGTGCGCAGTCATGCGCAGCGCCCGGTCGATCCGGCACCCAAGGTAGGTCACGGCCTTCTCGTACGCGATCTGCTGGCCATTGAGGGTTAATGGAGGTGGTAGGTTCCTGAGGCGGCGAGTGAGCAGAGCGGTCGTCTTACCAACGTTGACGACCATCCTCCACTCATCTAGCCATGGTGGCAACAGGTCCAGGAGGCGTTGCATCCTGGCAGCGGCAATATGGGCTCTTCTGGAAGAGGTGAAATAAGCGCTATCGTCCGCATATAACGCCAATTCCACGTCGTCCTCCCATTCTTGCAGCCTGCCTGCCAGGGTAGGAATGTCGTTGGTATAAGCCGCGTACAGGACTGGAGACAAACAGCTGCCCTGAGGAACGCCGGCTCTGATGGTTCTGGTTGCGGACTCGGCGCCCTCTACGCAGACGTAGAACTTCCTGTCTGCCAGGAAAGACGCCACTAGCCGCAACATAGCAGGAGGGACACTGGTCTGTTCTTCTAATTTAAAAAGTAATCCAGAATGCCACACCCTGTCGAACGCCTTCTCGATATCGAGAAAGACGCCCAACGTGGTGCGGCCACGGTTGTAATCAGCCGCAAGCAGGTGCAGCACTCTGGTCAGCTGTGTTGCTGTAGAGTGACCCCTCCTGAATCCGTGCTGCTCCGCCCGAAGTTGGATGCACGGGCGGAGGCGTCTTAGCAACAATCTTTCAAGCAGTTTAGCTATGTGTGGTAGCAGCGTGATCGGCCTGTAGCTGGCAGCTCTACGCCTGTCCTTCCCGGGTTTCGGCAAGACGATAACTTTGCCTTTCTTCCAGTCCTCCGGGAAGTGGGATGTCCGCAGGATCCCATTGTAGAGTCGACCAAGCTCTACTAGGACTCTATGGGGCAGCTGTCGGAGTGCAGCGTTGGTAATCCCGTCGTGCCCCGGCGCCTTCCTCGGTTGCAGGCGGGTTGCTGTCCACCGCAGTTCAGCGGGGGGAGATGAACCACTCTCCTGCAAGAGGCGGCGCGGGCGACGACAGGAACTCCTGTACGCGACTCTCCTTTCGGGCATGAAGCTCCAAGAACTCCGCACTTGCTGGGTTCGGCATAAATTGCTCCTCGAAGTGCTCGACTAGGATATCCGCTCTCCCCTTGGCATCGTAACAACGTTCACCCGCGTTGTTGGTCAGCGGGCAAACGGGAGGTTTGGCTTTAGTTAACTGCCGGTTCAGTTTGTAGAGCGACGCATCGTGCTCTTCCGCCTTCCATATGCGCCGCTCCCAGGCATCTCCTCTGTGTGCCTGGACTGCAACCGACAGTTCCTCCGACAAGGTGTTCAGTCTCGTTTTGATTCTCGGGCAGCGAGTACGCGCCCAGAGTCTCCTTAAAGCCCTTTTTCTCTTGATCTGCACGCAGATGTTATGCGGCAGATCATCCCTTCTGGAGGACATCGGGACGATCGTAGAGGCAGCGTTGAGGGCCTCCTGTATTGCCTTTGTCATATTTGTGGCTGCGGCCTCTACGTCGTCCGCTGTGTTTAAGGGGTGGTGTGCTGGAGGTCTCTCCTGCAGGTGTTTGTGGTAGAGCCTCCAGTCGACACGTGTCTTCACTGTTCTGGGCGGCGTAGTCACCGCCTTTAGGCCAAGGGTGATTAAGATCGGGAGGTGCTGTGATTCCAGGTCGTACAGCACCTCTACCACTATCGGGTAGTTGATGTTCCTAGCGAGCACGATGTCCAGTACATCCGGACGACTTCGTGGATCCGTAGGAATGTGTGTCGGTTCTTCAGGACCTAAAACGTCATAGCCGTATCTTTCGGCATCATCAAATAGCGCATGACCCGGCGGGTTGATCAGTCTAGATCCCCACGCCGGGTGTTTGGCGTTTAGGTCCCCGGCGATGATGGTCGGTGTTTCGCCTTCCATTACCGTCCGGACGTCTGAGGAGCAAAATGGAGTCCCTGGCGGGCGGTATGCTGCAAAGATCCTAAGTTCCTCGCCCGCCGCCTCCATTTTTATGCTGATAGAGCGCATAGTCTGGTATTCCGGTAGGTCAAGTTCTTGATGGACGAAGTCCCTTCTCACTAGGACCGCTGTCCCTCTGTAAGCGGCCCCTTGAGAGGTGACCTCGTCCCTCCTATACAGGTGGTAATTAGGCAGCCTTATGCGTGTACTCGGATTTAGCTTCGTCTCTCCCAGCAAGATGACATGTACGTCTTGTTGTTGGGCGACGGTGCGGAGTTCTTGTAACTTCTGCTGGATTCCACCAGGGTTCCAGTAGAGGAGGCGCAGGTTAGACTCCTCCACTGTAGTGCCGAGCCAGTAGATTAGCCAGCGCCTTCATAACCGCTGTAATCGGATCTGTCCCGGCTCTAATATCAGCCAGGACTTGACTGCCGACCTCGATTGCTATGCCAACCAAACGTTGGATGGCGTCAGCAGTCTCGAAGCCGGCTAGAGGTGTTCTAGTTGCGGATGATGGCGCTGGTCTCGGGTGTTGGTATGCTGATCTTTGCTCATGGGTAGAGCGCGCTCTATGTGTAGAGCGGGCTCTATTTTCTGATAGAGCCCTTTCTGGCACTCTACCCATTCTGGCTTTCTTTCCTTCCATGGTAACCTGCGCCTGGGCTATCGTTACCGTTGGGGTTGGGGTAGAGGTTGCTGCCTGAGGAGGAGGCTGCACCTTCTTCTTCTTCTTCCTCCCCCGCTTACTCCTCTGTGAGGTTTGGCGCTCTATGGCGTCGTTAGCGGGGGGGCTGAAGAGTCGCCCCGGTGGTTGCCTTAGTTGTGCTCATGGTAGGTACCACCGTTCCTGTGGGTGCCGTGACGGGTGGAGGGGGGGGCAGGTTGCCTTCCTTTTCCTCTGATGGTGGTCCACCCGTCTTCCTGAACCACGGCCCTGGGACGACTTTGGGGGACCCTCTTGGGCTCCTCTGGGAGTAGTCCCGGTAGAGTGATCCCCTGCTTCCTTGCAATCCTCCTCAGGACTGGGCAGCGGCGATCGTTAGCGGTGTGGTTTTTGGCGCAATTAGCGCAACGCGGTTCCTCATCTCTACCCCTTGGGCAGTTGCTAGCTATATGGTCTCCGGCACAGCGAACACACTTCACTGGCCTGAAGCAATTTGTGGAGGCGTGGCCAAAGGCCTGGCAGCGGTGGCACTGTGATGGGCCCGCTCTTCCTTGCCAGGCCTCTATGACGACTCCTCTCATGAAGAGGAGCTCGTCGACTTGATATAGTTCATTAAGGCGCTCCAGGCTCAGGTGGTCCAGCTGCGCGAAGTAGAGGCACCCAGGTCTGCCTCTACGGGGGGGGGATCCCTTTTACGTACCTAATCGGGAACCCCTTTGCCCTGATAGCCCCCTCTATCGCGGTTGGGTCCGTGCCCACTGGTAGTCCCCGAATGCCCACTTTCGTGGGCCTGTCCTCTTCGGGGGTGTAGCAGTACCAGGACATAGCTGGTACTTTCTCAGTCATCTCAATAAGGTACTTTTGTACCGTCCGGAATTCTTCCGGACTCTGCGGGGTAAATCTTACGCCCTTGCCGAATGGACGAGCATTCGGTGGGTGGCCCAGTTTCTTATTTAGTGCCTCGAAGTGCTTCGTCCAATCCGGCAAGCACTCTGCAACTATTGGCGGGTACCTTTTCGCCGATTCTTCCGGCGGTTTGGGTGTTTCGGCAATCTTTGTCCTTGGTACTGCCGGGGCAGCTACCAGTTGGGCATAGCTGGTGGAAGGCCTCTGACCATCGTCCGATGGCCGGCCTGAAGGGTTGGTGGTAGGCGCGGATGGTGAATGTCCGGCTGATGTGCTAGGTGCCAGGGTTGCATACGTGGTTGCACTCCATCCGTATGACCCTTCTCCTCCCTGCTCCAGTTCAGCAGCATCCATGCTGGTGTGTTCCGGTGTTCTGGGTGGAGTGGTTTTGGTCGGCGATGGCGATTTAGGAGGTGATCTTCTAATCGGCTCTTTCGGTTGGTGATCCGATTCTCCCTCGGATGAAGAATAATCCGAGGAGCTGGTACTATAGCATCGCCTCTTCTCCTGGAGGGATGCTGCTGTTTCTGGAGGCGTATGCCTTCTCTGGGTCTTCTTTGCCCGCTGGGGTTGGGGGAACGGTTCCCGCCCAGTCGTACCTCCAGGTACGATGGGCGAGAGCGCGGTCCTCGGTGCGGGCTCCTTACCCGGGGAGGAGGGCTTCCTTGTTGGGATCTGAGAGTAGGAGGACACTACTCTAGTCCTTTCAGGGTTGAACATGTCGCGGTACGCGATAGGACGATCTAATACACCAGGACGGTCGGGTGGTCTTCTGGGTTTGGGTTTAGGTGGAGGCTCCCCTTTGTCCTTATCGGACATGTTGAAACCTACCTAAGTCAGTCAGGTATTCTAATTGGCCCTGTCTAATAATTGCCGACCGATTCGGCACGAAGCGCGACGCGGAAGGCGGAGTATAGTTCGTAGTTGGCGTAATCACTAACTGGGCACTGCCTACCCCTTTTGACAGCAAAAGGGTTGGGGGAAGTGCGACGGTGGCACTTTATGACGCGACTAGGCACAGGATGCTCGGAGCGCATAAAGTGCCCAAGAATCACCTAGGGGCCGGTGACCTCGACGCCTCACGGAATCACGGGACTCAACGTTCGGCGGAGTATGTCGTACCGGCGGTCATTTACAGCCACTGCTAACTGCAAACAACGCACACCTAGGAGATCCTTGATCATTGCTTGAAAGAGCGATGCTTCCTAGTACAAGCAAATACTTTCCTTAAAAGAAAGCTCCAACCACAGTTTGATGTAATACATATAGATAGAGTTATGGAATAAAGAATTTGAATTTAAATTTGCTGCCCATGGACATCTAGAACAGACTGCAAACAAAGAAAGCAACAGTGAGAAAGTGTGTCGCCTCTGAGCATCGCTCTCACAGCCTGTAATTACATTGGCATTTTATACCCTTCAGACTGGAACACAGCAGCTCACACTACTGTGTTCCGGTCGCCTGTCTGCGTCTCTTAAAAGTAGGTGGCCGAAAGTAGGTAGCCGTCCTACACTTTGATTATCGGTACAAAGCCGCCACTCGTGAACCTTTCTTCCCCAAGTAAAAAGTATATTTGCAGTTACACCAGAGTAATCAAAAATCAAAACAAATGGCAGACGAGAACAAACTCTAAGTGTATAGAATATCAATCAAAAGAGGAACTTACCTGTAAGCTTTTTTGATATCATCTTCCGAAGCGGTTTTCTCAATACCGAGAATTTTATAATAATCTTTGCGTTTGGATTTCTTAAGAGCTAACTTGGCCTCATGCAACAGTTGCTTGTTCTCTTTGCTTTTATCGATTTTATACAGTCTCTCGTAATCCTTGACCGCTTCTTCATATTCCCCAAGTTCTGTGTAGCACTTGGCACGTCGAAGGAGAGCTTTCACATAGTTTTCATCTAATTCCAAAGCTGCTGTACAGGCTTCCGCTGCATCCTTGATTTGATTCAGCTTAGCACATACAGTTGCTTTGTTGAAATATAATTTTGCATTTACAGTTCTGTTGGTTTTGTCAATTGTTAGTGCTTCATTGTAGAGGTTAAGGGCTTGTTGCCATCGACCCATTTTAAAAGCCTCATTACCTATAAAGAAGGACAAGGAGATTTTGTTATATTTTATGAATATGAATACAAATGCCACTTTTTGAGAAAGAGACTGACAGTTTTATTGATAAGTTTGCCTGTTTAAGGTTTTTTTGTATTTCGAATCAGAAGTATTTTATATTTAGGTAATACAATATTTTTCTCTGTCGCGGCAGTGTTTCAGCCCAGTTCAAAAAAGAAAAGAGCGTCGTACTTTTTTTATAGGATATGGTGACAAACGAGCAGCAACCACTTACCATCAGGTGGACCTGATGGTAAGTGGTTGCTGCGACCCATAGACATCTACATCTATCCTCGATTACAAATCAAAATACAGATGCGTTGTTACCCGTGAGGACTAAGATGGAATGCCTCTTTTCCAGTAAAAAGGGTGTCCTGTTCTCTACACTCACCACACGAAACACAGCAGCAATAAGCCACTATTTCACGCTGGTATTCTGTGAGAGCGTGATCCTTCTCCAGTCGAGCCGACCCATTCATGCTACTTACTTACACAAACAATTTACCTTACACAAACACTTTAAAGTTACTTTCTAACCTCCCATAACTCAAAACCAGTGGCGAAGCCTCTATACAAGCTCAGAAGCCCGGCTTGCCTCATTAAGATGAATCAATCAATTATAGCAAGTAATAAAATAACTCTGTAAACTGTTTCAAACTATTTCAAATTTCCCGCGCACTCTGTTCGGCCTCGTAGCCTTACGAATACTACTGTCATACGTATAAGGAGAGTTGAATTGAGCGATTGGTTTTCTTCCTCGCACGCGTGGGCTTTTTACCGGGCTTTCGAGAAGACGATCGCTCCCTTTCTAACTTGTGGCAAAATGTTCTCTAATGAAATATAACTACGAAATGTTTATATAGCAATTACTATTGAGCCACAAGCCTGGCTTTGCCTTGAAGTTGTTTAGGAGTGCGTTAGCGACTAGCGAATGGGGTGTGGGCCATTCGTATGCAAGTTCACTTCACATTTCAATGTTTATGTTTGTTTTTGTAGTGTTTGTTAAAAATTTATGCTTTTTCAAAGATTTTCAGTGAAAATGGGAGGATAATAGTGTTTATTGTGATGAATATAAGTGTGTTAAAGTGGTAATCGGCGAGGAAAAGGTAAAATCTTTAAAAATGAAATTTAATATTCAATAAACATTTCTTCATACTTTAAATATAGGTACAGGACTCTTTAGTATTAAAGTTTAATTAAGTTAGGCGTATTTAAAGGTTTAATAACTCAATATTTATATTACCATATGAATTAAAAATATCATTTTGAACGGCAGCATAAAATATGAGACACCTAGGTTTAATTTTATAGGAAACAAGTATTACAATCTTTTTTTAACGTGAAGCCCAAATTTTAATTGTAATAAGTCAAAAGAATACAGAAGAATGTATTGAGGTTTTTAAAGAACTCCCTTTAGTTATTTCCAGTATATAAAATTTTAATAGCGCCATCTACTTAATTCTATACGTAAAGTCATTTTATCGAACGAAAATTGGTTTATTCTCACGATGGTACCTAAAGATTACGCTAGATGGCACAAATACGCTATCGGCTAATTTAATATTTATATTACCATACGAGTTTAAAAATATCATTTTGTACGGTTTATTATGAAGTATCATTTGGTTTATTGAAAATGAATAATTATATAATAAATAGTCATTATTTTATGGTAAAAAATTAGCAAAGCTTATCTTCTCATTATAAATATCTAATTCCTGTCGTAATCTGTTCATTTATGCTTATTACTTAAACAAAATAATTTCGAGGTTTCACATCTGCCAGGCGTCACTTTTTTAACTTTGTACATAGTTTGTTTGTACTTTGTTCATGCTTTTTTTTTGTTCATGTATTGTATTGTTTGTAAATATCTCAAGCAAACCCAAACGGCTCTTTTCAAAACCACCGAAGGTGTGCATATGTCATACAATCTATCTAGCGGTAGTATGCTTTCTGTGTGCTTTGTTAAACACGTCCTTGACAGCACTGAATATGAAACTAAAGAGTGGAGACAGGTCAAGATTGGTGTATTTTTATTAAACTGCTAAAACAACAAAACCATAGCCTGCCTAGCTTCGCCACTGCTCAAAACCTATTATTAGATTTACAAACTTATAATTTTGCATACCTTATATCAACAACCTCGTAAATACCTACAATATTCCAACTTTCATAATAGTTACACATTCATGAAAGTTGGAATTATAGGTCTTAAGTTAAGGTTACGGTCTGAGAAGTGTTATTTGTATAATAGCAAAAACCTAGGCCATTTCTAGGTTAATAAGAAACTTTAAATTTAGCATCAATGTAAATCATGAAGAGCATACAAATAAAAAATGTAAAAACTAAAAATTATTAATATTCAATGTCGAAACAGTGTTGACAAAGTACAATACAAAGTAAATGTCAGAAAAATCGCTTTTTGTAACATAAATAAAAGTCTAAGACTTTTTTTAAATAATGATATCTCATCAAAAATATAATACCAAAACATAAAAGATAAAAGAGTAAAATTCAGTTCAAAGACGTCGATAATAGAGTTGAGTACCGAACGTGCGCCAAGCCCCGTAGCAGTTCCAAGGACGTTGTAGATTACTTTATCATATGATTTAAGCAACAGCTATGAAGCTTATAAAGTTAATAAATTTTGGATTTAACCATAAATCCTATTTGTTGTTTTCATTATTAAGCTCGCATAAACTCCTAATTAGCACTTTCTAAACTCTCAGCTTTTAAAATAAATAAGGAATATTAAAGGGTATCACATAACTTTCGAATTGAATTATAAGTTGATTGAATGCGTTTAAAGTATGAATTGCGTTTATCAAGCAGGGTAATTGCAAACAGAGGTAACTGAAAACAAGATTTAAAAATCCTTTCATCATCTTTTTAGTGTGGAAAAGCTAATATGTATAATATTACCTACTGTTTTATAGAAATGATATGATAATTGATAGAATCAGGCGATACTTTGCGGAAATCTATTATAATAAAGATATTAATAGTTATTTTGCAACAATAAAATGATGTGTCTTCCCTAGTTTGAAGAGCACCTCCCGCCCTCCCTCAATTGCGTGCACTAATCCCATCACCACTACTCCCAACACCACTATTCCAGGAAAGACACACCATCGACGATAATACGACACGTGTTTCGCCTCTATACGAGGCATTTTCAGGTGATGTTGACTCTACGGCGGCTGACCGCTGACACACACACGCCATACAGCGGTCAGCCGCCGTTGGAAATTAAGAGGACCTCTCTACAGACAGACAGAAAGTAGATGATAAGAACTATGCCAGCCATGAATGCTGTTTTTTTTTTTTGAATAGGGTGAAAAGAGATACAGTCCACCTGATGGTAAGTGGTTGCTGGCATAGACTCTATCTATTTTAAAAATCAAACGTTGAGATGGAATCCTCGTTTCAGTAAAAAGGTTTACACTCACATAGAAATCGGGCATTGTCTACTGCCGGTCGAGCGACCCAGCTCTACTATATAATGAGCATGGCTGTCCTAACTTCAGCAGTTTTATGCTAACCAAATTGGAAAGCGACCCTGATTTTCATAAAAAAATCGTTATTATAGCCCATTTTGACCTCAGTGAATTTGTATTTGTCCATAAACAAAATTTACACTATTGGGGCGAAGAATAGCCTTCATTGATCTTTGAACAACTGCATCTACGTCGACTAAGTTAAGTGTGGAATTTGGTCAAGAAATTTGTTGAAGATTTTATGAGATACTCTACTACAGCAGCTTTAAAACTCCTAGTTCAATGGAGCGGAAAAATTAACACTTGCACTGTTGCAGAAAAACGACACACCTATGAAGATACTCATCACAGTATGTTCTTAGGTGTGTCCATAGATTAACTCTTTTTTTTTTACGTGGCGCGCTCATAAAGCGAGTCATATGTCAATCCCAAAAGTGTATACTGTGCATGAATTCCCATACAGTCACAAAGCATTTCCATAGACATTATTATTTGATTAAATATTCGAATTAGAACCGACGCTCCGGGAAGTCTGCAGTCTGTGAACACGTACAGGATCGGCCCCGTCACTACATCAGATATGATAGACCACAAATCCTCGCTAAAGAACACCGATTCTTTCCAAGGATGATTCGCGAGGCTATTGAAATCAAAAAACATCCTAATTTCAATAGAGAAGATGGCTGGGTGCTACCATCTGCTTGGGATCCTATAATAAATAAAATTAAATCCCAACCCAAGCATACAACTGCAAGACTTCAAGATACCATAAGTTCATACTGTGTAGATCGGAACAAAAGTTAAATTTTTATCTATGGTAACCGCTGTTAACTATGACATTTGGACGTTGAACATCTCAGTCCTCCCCGTGACCATGGGTGCTGTAAAGCGCTCGAAACGTCGGGTATTTATAGTAACGAGTAAAAACTAGTATTATTTCAATGTGTAGTGTTCGCGTAAATATAAGAAATCATTATGATTAAATATTATTTCATATAGGCCCTAACAGTTATCATATAAATCAAATTACCTTCTTCCTTCTTCTGTTTCAATAGTTTTGCTTTCTTGTATACTTCAATAGCTTTTTTGTGATCTGGAGCCAGTCGAAGTACTTGTTGGAAGTGCTTGAACGCTTGCTCGTCCTTATCCTACAAATAAAAAGGATGCTGTCAAAAACTATCAATCAATATAATTATTTTGAAAAAAAAAACTATAATCATTTATTACCTCAAAATACAAACATAGTCCACGCACAAAGATGGCTTCTGTGTCAAAACTGTCTGATCTAAGGCAGTCATTGGCAATTTCCTGAGCCTCTTGGCAGCGTCCAATCATTGCCAAACATTCTGCTTTTATAAGTTTTGCTCTAAAACAAGCAATTTTAAAAATATTAAATACATAGAACATCTATAATTTAAGGAGTTAAAGTATTTATGAGAGTTAAGGAAAATTAAGCCTTTGAGCGCTATACCATTTTCATTTTCACTTAAATCACATCTTATAATCATAGGTGGGATAGTGGTTAAGCACAAGCTTATTAAAGGTAGAAAACACCAGGTCATATTACTGAATTGTAATTAGTCAGCGTCTCCCTTATAACAACTTAAAATAAAAATAAAACTGTGGTTGCCAACACATCGGTCAAGATATTCAAAGGCAAATATTCGCCATGGAAGTTAGGTAGGTATAACCCCTCTATTAGGGAATCTATGGGGGAGACCTGAGGGGAGGATGTTCGACAGGGGAAGGTAATGGTATATTTAATCACTGAACAAGCATCATTATATTTAGTATTATTAGTATTAAGTTTAAACTGTTTAGTAGAAAATAGTTCCCTTGAAAATTTTAAACTTTTTAAATTCCTGTCGTAAATATAAAAAGGCATTGGAGAATAATTCCTTGCCTGTAATAACGCAACCAAATCTAATGTAAACACGCTTAAAAACCATCATGTGGTTAACCTTAATATATTTTTAAAAGTAAGTTACTATTTCGGGTTCTTACGATGAACTAACTACTTAACTATCTAATTGAACCTTTTAAAAATATAATAAGATTACACTTATAGCAACATTTTAATAACAACTATCTGGAGGCACGGCAATAACCCCCCCTCCCCCCCCAAGTCAAGCAAAAAGCGTCACGGCCTTACCATACTTTTCTGGAAGCAATTCAGGCCATTTTCGCCCCCTATAATTTTGTAGTGGATGAAACTAGAAGCCTGAATTTTCAGTAACCTAGTAAGCATTGTATAAAAATGGTATATTTCAAGTTTCATTCAATATGACCAGTAGTTTAAAATTATAACTAGTCAAAGTTTCTTAATTTTGTCACTCACTGACTGACCGATCATCAAAACTCTAAGGCACTTCTAGCAGACATAGGCGCTTCAAATTTAGAATACAATTAGTGTTTAGTGTATAAATCAAGGAAAACTAAAACCTTTTATAATTACGGTCCAGTTTTCTAGATACACCAACTGCTTCAATAACTTTGTGATCCCATATAAATATATAGAATTACAAAGTTATATTTGCAGTGAATGAATCAGTGGACTTGTATATATGTATAATAGGCGTAGATAGGTACGTTGTTGGTGTTCAAGAAGTAGAAGGTACCGGAAAGGAAAAAAAGTAGGACTATCTTATCTTCAAAAAGAAATGAGATGCCATCAAAAACATAACTTGTAAAAAAACCAAGTATCGCAACTCAGTTCTTCTACTGTAAAAAGTTGTGAGATCCATGTAATACCAAATCGGTTAATTTATTCAGTTAAAATGTTATACCATGTAGTAATGTAATGTATACCATGTAGGACCATATCAATGTTAAAAATCTTTTATGTTTTAAATATATAGATTGACTTGGCAATCGCACTAAGCAATCTAACTTAATATAATATGCACTACTTGTAAGATACATTGTGTTTTCAAATCATGAAAGATTTTTAACATTGATATGGTCACTATAAAATGTTGTTAGGTTAGCTAATTACGTAATAACTTAAAACAGAAGGACCCTTACATAGGGACTGACTGAATTAACCGACTTGGTATTACATGGATTTCACAACTTTTTACGGTAGAACAACTGAGTTGCGAGACTTGTTTTTTTTACAAGTTATGTTTTTGATGGCATTTTTAATTTTATTAGAAGTATTTTGAAAAATCCTATTATTAAATAAAAATCAAAATGTTATATATTTCCTAAAATAAATAATCTTCACAAAATGTTAAAATACAAGCATATCAATGTTCATACTACTAACTTGTTGCACGAAGGACTGTAATCCAGGCAACGATCCATGCAGAATACAACACGGCGATAGTCTCCCGCATCCATAGCACGTTGTGCATCCTCATGTAATCTACGAAGAGATTCCAACGCTCTACGCTCACTGGTCACACAGTCAGGTCCGCCGAGTTCACTGGCGCGCTGAGCTGCTTGCTCTCCTCCAGATAGATCACCTGTTACCATGAACATAACTTTATGAACTAAAATGTATAATGCTACACAGGTTTCAGCTCTAATTGTTGAGGCTCAATTTATACTTTTATTAGTCATTTATTTAACCTTTATTATACACCTTTATAAGGGATACAAAAAAAAATACTGTTAACATGTTTAAAACCATTTGTGTTTTATATGTTTTTTGTGTTCAGTATATAAGCAAATACTATAAATATTGAAACAATATTTTTAGTGGCATTTTAAAACTGATCAATTACGTAAATTGTAAATTTTGGTTCTTCTGGCTCAAAAGATTGCAGACCGCTGCACCAACAGCCCACCAAGCATGGCAACTATGGCAAAATCTATACTATGAGACAATCACTCAAAAAATAAATAAGACAGATCTGCTAATTATAATTACAGTTGTAATAGTGGGGATAAGCGGTCCACTATTAACAGACTCCGAGAGATTTAGTGGTGGAGAAATGAAACTACTATTTTATGTACAGCCGAATGGAGTATGAAATGTGAATATGGAATATGGAATGAATTTTACGTCGACCCAGCCTATATTTATATGTCCGGCTACGTCGTTAGTTAACCAATAGTAACAATTTTTATTTGCCTAGCCAATTACAGTACATACATTATGACCAATAAAGATTATTTAAAATACAACTATTATGTATGTTCCATTTGTCGGCGTGAGACTCGCGTTATCTTCTAGTATCTACGTCGCTGGACTGGGCTATAAAAGTTGTGCAGGGCGGCGCGCGAGCTTGCGCCCTCCTTTTTGCCAAGGAGGGTCGCGTCCGTATACGGCTTAGAGATTTCTAGTTAGACCGTTAAGCCAGTCCCTAAAGGGTGGGGTTTATTGGGTAAAAGTCTCCACATAACCACGCAGCCGGCTGCGTGGTATGCTATGAGCATTCCCCACCTCCCTTCCCCGCTTTCCGGAGGGTTGCCCATTTTGCTTCGGACGCAAAAAATAAATAAAAAAAAGCGTGCGCGCGTAGCGCTTCCGAATTTCTTCGACAATTGATGTATGTATATGTGTCGGATATCTTCGCTTCTCGCTTCTTAATGACGGCTTGATTACACTGAGTTTATATATACTGAAGTCTTCCTTCTCGGTGTTCGTAATGGGATCTTCCTTCTAGGTGTTCGTAACGGGATCTTCCTTCTAGGTGTTCGTAACGGGGTCACCACTGTAATAGTGGGGATAAGCGGTCCACTATTAACAGACTCCGAGAGGTTTAGTGGTGGAGAAATTAAACTACTATTTTATTTACAGCCGAATGGAGTATGGAATGTGAATATGGAATATGGAATGAATTTTACGTCGACCCAGCCTATATTTATATGTCCGGCTACGTCGTTAGTTAACCAATAGTAACAAGTTTTATTTGCCTAGCCAATTACATTACATATATTATGACCAATAAAGATTATTTAAAATACAACTATTATGTACGTTCCATTTGCTGGCGTGAGACTCGCGTTATCTTCTAGTATCTACGTCGCTGGACTGGGTTATAAAAGTTGTGCAGGCCGGCGCGCGCGAGTTGTCGGCCAGCGGCGGCGGCGTGGGACGCAGCTCCGGAACAGCAAGAAGAACGAGCTACGGCGTTGAAGAAACGGCTTCAAAATGGTCGACGGATACATAACGATAGCGGCGTGTGAAGACGATGTGGCGCTGAATGATATTTGTGGCTGTTTCTTGTTTCTTTATTAGAACATTAAATATATACGTCAAATTATCTCGCATCAGTATGCAGCCCGCAGTATCTCAGTAGCCGGGGATAGTTAGGAAATAAATGTTTTCTTCGCCTTCTGTGTTACAGTAGCAGCAGGGTATATATTGTTTATTGCCGATTAGCCTGGCTGCTAAATCACTCTCCCCCTAGCGAATGCGTACGGAGGCTTGACGACTCGCCCGTGTCTCGTAGTTTTTGAAATAGGTTTCAACTGGGTTGATGTAGATGACGGATTTTCAAACTTCCTCGCTGGTGGTTGTGATGATGATGATGAATCCTCTGTAGTATCCTCGTTAATAATATAGGCAGGCTTTAGTCGGTCGATCGATATAATTGTAGATTTCCTTCCGGGTATTTGTAATTTAAAAGTCTTGCTATTTCGCTCTAATACTTTATACGGTCCATAGTAGGTAGGTTGAAATTGTGTTTTCACTGAGTCGTTTCTTACAAAACTTGCTTGCATGTTTTCAAATCCTGATGAATGAATACTGATTTATTATTTCCGTGTGATGATGTGCATTTCGACGATAATGCTTTGTTGATTGATTCTCGAAGTTGAGTTACAAAATCGTAATCCATTTCTTGATTGTTTGACGACGCTGAAGTGAAGAAATCACACGGTAGTCTTATGCTGCAGCCGTAGGTTATCTGAGCGGCGCTAATACTAGTGTCTGCACGCGGTGTTGCTCGCAGTCCGAGTAGCACTGTAGGTAGCTCATCAATCTTTTTTTTTTTGGATATTTTTAATTTGGATGTTGAGATAAACGAGTTTTGAGTACGTTCTTCAATGTACGATGCCATCGTTCGATTATTCCGTTTGATTGAGGATGGTATGCTGATGTACGTGTCTTCTGTATTCCCAATTCCCATAGTTTGAAGAAGTTTGAGTAATAGGTTGCTTTCGAAGTTTCTTCCTTGATCCGTTGTGATGGTTTTAGTTGATCCGAAACGAGTAATCCAATTTTCATAAATTATCTTCGCGACAGATTCAGCTGAAGTACCATCGGTAAGTATTGCTTTCGGCCATCTTGTTGTTCTGTCGATCATTGTTACGAGGTAACGATGTCCTTGCGGTGAAGTAGGTAATGGTCCAACGATGTCAAGGTGCAGGTGTTCGAATCTCTCCGTGGGTGGAAATGTAGCTAGGCTACTTGATGTATGCCTTTGTACTTTGCATTTTTGACATTGAATGCTTATGCATTGCTTCGCCCAGTTGCCAACATCCTCTTGCATTGAAGGCCAAAAGAATTTTTCAGTGATGAGTTTTCTTGATGTTCTAACACCTGGATGACTGATGTTGTGCAGTGTATTGAAGACTTCGCGACGACATTCTTCTGGGAGGTATGGTCGCATGGTCGACGTTGAGGCTTCACAGTAGATAGGTAGATGCGTCATTGGCATTGTAACTTGCTTGATGGACAAGTTACTTTACTTCGATAGATGTTTTATGTTGTCGCTATCTCTGTCTTGTGCTTCGGCGATCTTACGATAGTCGATTGATGCAGGGCACGTTACACTGGCGATTGGTATGCGCTTGAGTGCGTCGGCGACTATGTTGTCCTTTCCACTGATGTGACGTATGTCGGTCGTGAATTCACTTATGAAAATAAGTTGTCTTGGTCGTCGTGGTGTTTCCGATAGCGATGGTTTCTTCGGAAGTACATATGTTAATGGCTTGTGGTCGGTAAAAACGATCAGGTTTCGACCCTCGAACGTTTTTCTGAAGTGCTTGATAGTCATGTAAATAACGAGTAGCTCTCGGTCGAATGTACTGTAGTTACGTTGAGTATCGGAGAACTTCTATGAAAAATAGCCAAGTGGTTGCCATTTCCCATTGCTGTATTGTTGGAGGACGGCTCCTGCTGAGAGATTGGACGCGTCGCTGAAGATAGCAAGGGTTGCTTCGTGTGATGGGTGAGCGAGCAAAGCTGCATTTTGGATCGCAACTTTACAAGCTTCAAATGCCTTCGTGGCTTCCTCGTTCCATCCGATTAACGTTTTAACTTTTTTCTTCGTGTTGTGAACGTAGGCGTGAAGTGGTGCTTGGATTTCAGCGGCTTTAGGTATGTGTTCTCTGTAAAAATTTATCATCCCAATAAAACGCCTTAGCTCTTCGATAGTTTTAGGTTTCGCATAATCGATGATTACTCTGACTTTTTCGGCAGGCGGTTTGATTCCTTCCTTGCTGACGGTGAAACCAAGAAATCGAACTTCTTGTTGGCCAAATATGCATTTCGAAGGGTTGATAGTGATTCTGTTGTCTTCGAATCGCTGTAGCACGGTGCGTAGATGGGTTTCGTGTGTTTTTTTATCGGGGCTTGCAACAAGGAGATTATCAATGAATGCGAAAACGAAATCCAGTCCACGAAGTACTTTGTGCATGAATCTTTGGAGGGTTTGACCAGCTTTAGTCCTGGAGTCATTCTTGGGAATTCGAATAATCCCATTGGGGTAATTATTGCTGTCTTCTCTATGTCTTCATCGCGTACTCTTATTTGTTGGTAAGCTCGGTTGAGATCGATGAAGAATATAGTCTTGTCTGACAGTTGATGAGTGAAATCCTTGACTCGCGGTATTGGGTAGCGGTCAGGAGTGGTAATAGAATTCAGTCTTCTGTAATCTTCACAAACTCGTAATTCTCCATTCTTCTTCGGTACAAAGTGAAGTGGTGATGACCAAGGGCTTTTGCTTGGACGGCATATTCCTTGTTCAATCATGTTTTCGAATTCCTTTCGAACTTTTTCGTGTAGGTGTGGTGCGATTGGACGTGCACGGCAATGAAGTGGTGGTCCATTGGTTTCGATGAAATGCTCAACGTCGTTCTTCGATGTTAATTTCATTGAAGTTATTCTTGTGATTCCAGGGTATTCTTCGAGGATCTTGTGATACGATTGTTGAACATCTATGCTTCTTATTGTGGACAGATTGGTTGCTTGGAAGAAAGACGGAGATGCAAGATTGGTTTTCCCGTCGATGATTCTTCTATTTTTGTTGTCGACGATCAACTGGTGATGTTGAAGATAATCAGCACCGATGATTGGTTTGCTGACTTTAGCGACGATAAAACTCCATTTGAATGGTCGGTGTAGGTTTTAATCCAGTTCCATTGTTTTTTCTCCATATGTTTCCTACATATGTCTCCATATGTAGGAATCACCGTATTGTTTGCTGCATAGAGTTGAAAATCCAGTGGCTTCAACTTCTGCCTTTGTTTCGGCGGTAACACTGAGATATTCGCACCAGTGTCGATAAGGAAAGTAAGCTTGCTTTTTTTATCGGTGACGAAAAGACTGTAGGACTTTGCTGTTACGCTGGATCCCGCCGCATCGATCGGATCGCATCGGATCGAGCTTGATCGACTTCTACTTGCAGAGCGGTTGCGATGAAAAGGTGATCTTCGGTGTTGCTGATTGCGCTGGTTGTACTGTTGCTGGTAACAGGTGTGATGCTGGGAAACTTTGAGCGCGGCGACTTCGAATGATAGCTTCCGAATTTCTTCGACAATTGATGTATATGTGTCGGATATCTTCGCTTCTCGCTCCATAATGACGGCTTGATTACACTGATTTTATATATACTGAAGTCTTCCTTCTCGGTGTTCGTAATGGGATCTTCCTTCTAGGTGTTCGTAACGGGATCTTCATTCTAGGTGTTCGTAACGGGGTCACCACTGTAATAGTGGGGATAAGCGGTCCACTATTAACAGACTCCAAGAGGTTTAGTGGTGGAGAAATGAAACTACTATTTTATGTACAGCCGAATGGAGTATGGAATGTGAATATGGAATATGGAATGAATTTTACGTCGACCCAGCCTATATTTATATGTCCGGCTACGTCGTTAGTTAACCAATAGTAACAAATTTTATTTGCCTAACCAATTACAGTATATACATTATGACCAATAAAGATTATTTAAAATACAACTATTATGTACGTTCTATTTGCCGGCGTGAGACTCGCGTTATCTTCTAGTATCTACGTCGCTGGACTGGGTTATAAAAGTTGTGCAGGCTGGCGCGCGCAGTCGGCGAGCGGCGGCGGCGTGGGACACAGCTCCGGAACAGCAAGAAGAAGCGAGCTGCGGCGTTGAAGAAACGGCTTCAAAATGGTCGACGGATACATAACGATAGCGGCGTGTGAAGACGATGTGGCGCTGAATGATATTTGTGGCTGTTTCTTGTTTCTTTATTAGAACGTTAAATATATACGCCTTCTGTGTTATAGTAGCAGCAGGGTATATATTATTTATTGCCGATGAGCCTGGCTGCTACACAGTTTTTATTGGAAAATTAATATTTGGTAATATTAGTATACTTTACATACATACATAATGTGACCATACATCCCACTAGGCGGGACGGTCCCCATTTAAAGGTTTGTGTCCCACTGTTCCCAAAATACGTGAAAAAGTCCCGCTTTGACAAATAAAAGCGTAGCATCATGCAAACTCTGTCACCCGTGCCATCATTATGACACCGCGCGTACCAGTTTTGCCAGCATGGCCTGACTAGCGATTATTCTGAAAACCTACACTTTTGAGCCTAAAGCTACGAAGACAATTTTAATTAATCTACAATAAATTATCAAATAACATAGTTATTTCCAATTAGTATTTATTTGCTGTTTAGAAAAAATTAAAAAGCCAGCAGCCAGATTTTATATGATTTTAATAATCTAATAGTCCGCAATAAGCCACCATGATATTTTTTATACAATTTCATACAGCTTAAAACCCACGAAAGGGCAAAGTGCTTTAAAGCTATCTAATTTGCCTAAATACGATGAGTAGTTTAGAAGATCTGAGGGATCAGATAAACATATATAGCCTTCTAAAATTGTAAACATTCTTTTGGATTCACCATAGTTGGGTAAAATATTCACTTAAATCATCTGCGTCAAATCAGAAGACACAAATATACTGCAATCGGTATTGATAATTGAAGTTGAAACAGGCAATGCATGGTGCAGAACTATTTGTCACCCACACATGCACATCACACGCACACTGGTGTATTTTGATTGTGGTCTTGCCCTAATGACTCGATTGCCAATTTATACTATACTATATCTATGGCTCAAACAGTGAGTTGTCATAGATGACATTTGTCAAACATAATATGTCACATATGACAAAGCCTAAGTTTGCTTTGCAAACTATGGAGAGGGCTATGTTTTATTTTATGTTTTTATTCAGAATACTATGACACATTTCACTTATTACAATATTTAAAATCTACATAGCTATTAAAATGTATTAAATTAAAACATACATAGCTTATATAGAGCTTTACCTCAAAATAAAACCAATCAATTAAAAAATACAAAAAATGTGGAAAATACCAAAAACTGTGAGAGAGACAGCTTGTTGATATTTGAAGGTTTAGTCCGAATTAATTCCAAAATGTTGTTACCTATATATAAGAGATTGTTGAAAATGTTACTTGTGCAAATACAGAAAGAAATGCAGAGATAATTAGTTTTAGCTCTGGTTATTGCCAGTTTGACTGCACAATGGGACCCATAATGAAAATATCCCCATTATTCCATGTGTATGTGTGAAATAATCAAGACATTTTCTAATAATTAAAAATAATTTATTCATATTATTAAATTACAGGTCTATTTGAGACTGAAGAGAATTAAAGTTGCCACTGTAACTAATATTTTTAAGACAAAGCTTTAATCTACTTCATCTCAATGAATAGAACCTCAATAGTCTGCTCAAACTAGTAAAGGCCCAGCAGCCTGGATGTGTTATTACCATCACTGACATTCATTTTATTTAATCATGAAATATCTAATTGTTTTGATACTGGTTGCGCGGAAAACCATTCGTATTTATTTAATTTGACGGTAGGATGCCAAATCGGTTATCCCATTCCAAAACTATATCATTCATACCCTCCTATCGACACATCGGGGTGGTGGGGTGGGAGGGGAAAGAAGATGATTCTAGAACATCACGTAATCATCGGAACCGAGGATATAAAGGGCACGCGCGACCGACGCGCGCTCTCTTCCTGCCGCGCTCGCCGTTGAAACCACACCGCCTAGGATAATAGTGTCCTAAAGAGCTCCTCTTCCCGCCGCGCTCGTCGTTGAAACCACATCGTTAGTAGAAACCGCTTTAGCCTGGAAGCTGTCGAGCTCCAGGAAGCCCGCCTCACCTCATGTGAGATATAGTCGCGCACCGCCTCTCTCCGGAGTGTTCCAGAAGTCGCAGTTATAGTGCTCGACCGCATAGAAGAAACATCCCGGTGAGTCAATATCCAATATTATAACCTGCTTGATATAATCGTTTTAACCCGCCCCAATTTTGTGTTTTCCTAATCAAGCAGGATTCCTTTCATCGATTTGGCAAATAATAGTTCGTTTTTTTGGGAAGAGCGAGTGCATTGTACTGCATATATAAGTGTAGAAGCATTAGTAGATACAGTCCACTTAGATTAATATCTCGCGTAATAGGTTTAAGGTTCGACCGGGGAACTAGACTTCGGCAGCCTTAAACACGTGGCTCCACCAGATACTTTGTCCTAACTTAAATAAACATACACTTTATGTACCAATTTGAAACAAAATCTCAATATGATGTACCTATATAAATGGATTTTATGCTCTGAATCAGCAGACTAAGATTAATTACATCATGAAAATTATTCAAAACAACTTTCTCATTGCACATCTTTGTAATGCATTATGGGATCTTATTCATTACCCAGTTGTATGCATGCTTGTTGGTGAAATGTGTGCACATTCAATAATAAGAAAACTAAATATAAACACATACTAACCTAAAGCTATACAACATTTAGTCACACGAATATAGCCTTTGGTAAATGTTGGATCTAATGCAACAGCCTTTTGAGCATCCTCTAAAGCTTTTTTGTACAAGCCCAGCATCATGTAGCAAGCTGATCTATTTCCATAATATGATGCGTTATCAGGACACAATTTTACAGCTTCTTCATACATTGCTAGTGCACCCTTATAGTTTTTAAATTTGTACAAATGGTTTCCACTTTCCTTTTTTTCTTCGGCTAGTCTGAAATTTGTAATTTTTTTTAAATATGCAAAGAATTACAACTATATAATCCGTTTTGAAACAAATAAACTCTTTTACGTATTAACAAAAGAGTTATTCCATTTACCCACCCCAGATAGTCGGAATTCACTTTTATTTGTTCTTCCGACTTTCTACCCCAAATACAGTTCAACACATACACATTAATTTTTAATAATCACAAACTTAATCATAAAAACATATTACATTATGGCATTTCTGTTACCGTTACAGCCTATTGAAGTCCATGCATTACATATTGTATTTAAATCAAATTAAACTTCCTTGTTTCAAATAGTATTATTACATAATTTATAAATCCTGCAGTTTGTTAAGGCACTAATTTCATTACTGAGTAGATGTAATTTGATATCCCAGATAAATTCCAAAAATGGAAGTTTTCTATCCATATTTACGGTTTCTGTATTCACAGAATATTTACTGAACATATACCCTGCGAATAAAGAGCTTCTACTGCAGTGGCGAAGCTAGAGCTCCAAGCTAGGGCAAGCCCAAGATATAAATTGATAAAAATATAGATTGTTGTTTTTAGCAGTTTTATAAAAATACACCAATCTTGATCTGTCTCCACGCTTCAGTTTCATATTCAGTGCTGTCAAGGACGTGTTTAACAAAGCACACAGAAGGCATACCACTGCTAGATAGATTGTATTACATATCAGCAATTGCGTAGCTTCGGTGGCTTTGAAGAAAGCCGTTTGGGTTCATTTAAGTGAAAGAAAAAAAATTCTACATCCAATACAATACATGAACAAAAGTAAAACACGAACAAAGTACAAAGAAACTATGTACAAAATTAAAAAAAAAAATTATTTACATTCTAATGGATAAGAGATAAGATAAGTGGAATCGTCACGCTTTCTTATGGAAAGATTTAATTACGTCCATGTAAAATGTTGGTGAACGTTTTAATTGTACCAATAACTGTTTTTAATTGCGATAGTTGATAAGTCTAAAATACACTCTTAACCTTGTGTATTATCTCAACAAAGTTTAAAGATTTCCTCTCCAATTATCACTTTAACACACTTATTCATCACAAGGAACACTATTATCCACCATTTTCATTAAAAATCTTTAAAAAAGCATAAATTTTGAACTCTTAATATTAAATCGCTTAAGATAAGCACACAGAGTAAATAAACATTGAAACGTGAAATGAACTTGCAAACGTATTGCCCGCGCGCCTCCGCTTTTAATAAATTTATTCCCAAAAGCTTGGCTTTAAATCTCTATACTAATTGCTATATTTACAATCGTAGTTATATTTCATTATAGAATATTTTGCCATAGGTTAGAAAGAGAGTGATTGTCTTCTCGAAAGCCCCGTAAAAAAGCCCACGCGAGCGAGGGAGACAACTATTAGCTCTATTAAAATTCATTTTTTATGACAGCAGCAGTATCGCTAAGGCAATACGAGGTCATCGGTCGACATGTGTCGAACAGTGGAGTGGGCGGGAAATTTGAAAAAGCTTGAAACATTTTATAAGTTATTTTATTAGTTGATATTATTGATTGATTCAGGTTTAATAAGGCAAGCCCGGCTTTTCGGCTTTAATGGAAGCTTCGCCACTGTTCTACTGTATATAAATTCTGAAAAGGGTGCATAGATGAACACACATTTCCTTCACCTTAGGGTGAATTTATTAGGGTAGATAAATGGAATAACCCTACTAAACAAAACATTTCATAGAGAACATTTAAACTGGTTAATATTATTAACACAAAAGGTTATATTATTATAACTATGATAAAATAAAATATTGTCTATCTACCTAATAACAATAATAAATGTCGAAAATGGATATATATTAAGGTAAAATATAAAAGTTTTGTGAAATTTAAACAAAAGAATCATAAGGAAAAATCCTAAGACTCAGTAATCATTACACAATTTTGGAATTCTGAAAAAATTGCTATAAAGGTCTGGGTATTTTACAACTGGCATAAATGAGATGGTATCGAAACATAGACATTACAAATATTTTAAAGGGAAAAGTCAATCCTTTTTCACTTACAATTTTGTTTTAGAAATATTTTGTGTAATTAACTGTAATAAAGCCCAAATAATAATTAAAATAACTATGACTTCTGTTAACTTTATCAAACATATGAAAGCACCTATCATGTATAATCAGTAACAGAAGGTTGAAGGAGCTGCTACATCTAAAGCTATGATGAACATTTAACCCCTTTATAATGTGATTTCCTTTCACACCTTTTATGCAGCAGGATACTAATAAATGCTTGCCAGTGTAGTAAAAGTAGTAGGGTAGTTCATACTGGAGTTATTACACTCAGTTGAAAAACTGTGCATCTCCAGCAAACTTTACCCCTTCCTACTCCTACATCTCACCACAGCACTTCAACCTCCTAGCAAGTTTAAAATGCAGGGATAAGGTGTAGGTATTTTGTTTCTAATGCTTAAACCTAAAAAAACAGATTTTTAATACGAAATTTTCAAATATGCATAAAAAATAACTAAGCTTCCACTAGAGAGGAAGTGCAGTTAACTCACTCAACCCTCACTCCCGCAGGATTATCAATTAAAAATAACATGAGAACATGTTTGACATATTAGGAAGTTTTAATCTTAAAAATTTCTAAAGTATGTGAAAAATCATAATATCTCGTTAAAATATGTATGATCCGTGGTATAATAATTGGTTGTAATAAGATTTAGAATATTTCAGTCAAAAGAAACTGTACTTCTCAGTTTCTTATGACGAAATGTGTTTTTAATAAAGCAGTATTTATAGGAACATTTTATAACATTTGATTTTATGTATTTATAAGTTATTGCTCGACAAGTAGGTCAAATGTCAAGGTAATTGTATATGTATTATGCCTCCCCATATTTTTTGAATTGATTCTCTAAGCTTTTGTAACAACACTTAATTTGCGACATACTGTGCTTAAGGTCAAATTATCATACGTTACCTTTCAGGACTTTTTGGAACTAGATCATCGATTGTTAAATCCAACTCCACAACTTCCGACTCTGCCATTTTTGCGTTTTGTTCTTTTATTATAATATTATAAAGTAACAATCCACGTAAAACTCCTTAAAGTAGGACTATACCCTTTGTATCTCTTGATGTAGAATATTTGGGTAATCTAATCCTTGCTTTGTTTTAGGAATTTACGATAGGTAAGCTGACTATTATACAATGTACTAGGTACTCTGCCTCTGCTCTCTGCTTTGTGGTCACAGAATTAGGGATGTTCGATGATCATCGATGTTAAAAATTAAGAAATCGATGTTTTAACATTGCACACCTCAAACATCGAAACATCGATGTCAATGAACCAGTAATCGATTAATAAGAACTTGTGAACAATGCTTTGAATATTCAACCAACTGGAGAGGCCATGCGCGTTAATTCCTAAACAAAAATTAAAAAAAAAAATTTTTTTTTTTTTTAAATTTAAAAAATCGGTGAGCTGGGGGTGTATTGGATTATCTGAGGTCCGAAGAGAGGGGGAGGACACGGTAATCCTCGAGTACGGCAACTTGTTCTATCACCGGGAGGGCGACCGACTGTCCCAAGGAGGTGTCGGATTTATCGTCCACAAGTCTCTCGTCAACAACGTTGTAAAGATTGGGAGTGTGTCGACGAGGGTCACGTACCTGATACTCAGAATCACCAAACAGTATTCGCTGAAGGTCACACAGGTCTACGCACCAACCTCGGCACATCCCGATGAGGAGGTGGAGGAAATGTATGAGGATATTTCCAGAGTCATGCATTCCTCCAAAACCCCCCACTAAACGGTGTTGATGGGCGACTTCAACGCAAAACTAGGCACAAGAGAAAAAGGGTGAGCTGAAGTTAGGGAAATTTGGAGTAGGGCAACGGAACCGTAGGGGACAGCAGCTAGCCGATTTTATGGAGAAAGAGGTACTCTTTATGATGAACTCTTTCTTCCAGAAGCGGCCCCACAGGAAGTGGACCTGGTCGAGCTCCGACGGTTCGATAAAAAATGAGATTGACTTCATTATGACGACCAGACGCCAAATGTTCAGTGATGTCTGAGTGATTGCAAGGGTGAAAACCGGCAGCGATCACCGAATGGTTAGAGGCACACTGAACCTTAACGTTAAGTTGGAGAGGTCTCATCTAATGAAGTCAACGCTCCGTCCCCCTCGTGCTCTGATCCAGAATCCCGAGACTTTTCAGCTCGAGTTAAGTAACCGCTTTCAGTGCCTAGAAGATTGCAATGCAGTGGACGATATGAATGACAAGCTCGTGGAAACTGTCCATGCGGTTGGAGCTAAGTTCTGCAAGACCCGTCGCAGAAGAACACAAAAAATCTGCGATCACACTCTTAATCTCATGGCTGTTAGACGGAAGATGAGGCTGCAATCGTCAACAGATTTGACAGCATACAGGCAACTGAACAGACAGATCTCCAAATGCATGCGGCGAGACTTACGCAATTTAATACTGCTCGTATTAAAGAATGCGATCGAGTGGAACCAGGGCTCCAAAGTCTTTGCCAGAGATCTGTCTGCCAGAAAGAGCCAATTGTCAAAGCTGAAGACTGAGTGTGGCAGCATCGTTTCCGAGACACCTGAGATTTGAGTGAGATTGAGAGGTTCTATGGGCAGCTGTACACATCATCGTTGGAGCCACACGCAAGTGTGAGTAACGATCCAAGAGCAAGTCTTATCCAACACTATTCCGATGATATCCCGGACGTCAGTCTGAGCGAGATTAGAATGGCTCTCCAGCACCTTAAAAACGGCAGGGCCCCAGGAGAGGATGGAATTACAGCGGAGCTTCTGAAAGCGGGTGGAACACCGATACTTGAACTCCTTCAGAAGCTCTTCAATTCCGTCTTCTATGGTGGCACTACTCCGGAGGCGTGGAGCAGAAGTGCGGTGTCTTGTTCTTTCAGAAAGGCGACAACGCTCTCTTGAAGAACTACAGACCGATTTCCCTTCTGAGCCGCGTCTACGTGCTGTTTTCGAGAGTCATTACGAATCGTCTCGCACGCAGACTCGACGACTTCCAGCCTCCCGAACAAGCCGGTTTCCGAAAAGGCTTCAGTACCATAGGCCACATACATACCCTGCGGCAGATTGTACAGAAGACCGAGGAGTACAATCTGCCACTTTGCCTGGCGTATGTGGACTATGAGAAAGCCTTTGATTACGTCGAAATTTGGGCGGTGCTACAGTCCCTTCAGCGGTGTCAAGTTGACTGTCGGTATATCGAAGTGCTGAAGTGTTTGTACAGTAGGGCTACGATGGCTATCCGAGTACAGAACCAGAGTTCGAATCCTATCCAACTGCAGAGAGGTGTAAGACAGGGTGACGTTATATCCCCGAAACTCTTCACCGCTGCGTTGGAAGACGTTTTCAAGCTGCTGGATTGGAAAGGATACGGTATTAACATCAATGGCGAGTACATCACTCACCTTCGATTTGCCGATGATATAGTCCTTATGGCAGAATCCCTGGAGGACCTTAGCACTATGCTCAATGACCTCAATGGGGTCTCCCAACGGATAGGTCTTAAGATGAACATGGACAAAACAAAGATCATGTTTAATGTCCATGTCACACCTATGCCGGTAGTTGTTGGGAGCACTATGCTCAAAGTTGTTGATGAGTACGTTTACCTGGGACAAATAGTCTGACTAGGTAAGTCCAACTTTAACCGAGAGGTCATTCGACTGATTCAACTCGGCTGGGCAGCGTTCGGGAAATTACGACACATCTTCTTGTCAGGTATACCTCAACCTCTGAAAACTAAAGTGTACAACCAGTGCGTGTTGCCAGTGATGACTTACGGATCAGAGACGTGCTGGTCATATGATGAAGTCAAGACTCAGCCATATGGAAGAGGGCTAATCTCGGAGTTTCTCGGCGTGATAGACTCAGAAATGAGGATATCCGCAGTTAAACCAGAGTGACCGACATAGCCCAACGGATTAGGAAGCTGAAGTGGCAATGGGCCGGCCATATAGCTCGAAGAACCGATAACCGATGGGGAAGAAAGGTTCTCGAGTGGCAGCCTCGTACCGGTAGGCGTAGTGTAGGGCGACCCCCCACAGATCTAGATGGAGTGACAACCTGGTAAGACATGCAGGAAGTCGATGGATGCAGGTGGCTCAGGACCGTGCTTTGTGTCATTGCTTGGGAGAGGCCCATGTGCAGCAGTGGACTTGTGAAGGGCTGTAATGATGATGATGATAGATAGATAGATAAATAATACCAAGGTGTTATTTAAAATTGTTTTTTCAAAGTATTTAGAAATGTTCTTCGGAAAAAAAACTTAGAAATTATTGAAAATAAGTTTATTATTTTGCTACAGGTTTATTTTACAAATCTAAAAGGCATTTTGGTTATATACATAATGCCTTTGGCTACTAGCATGGTATTCTGTCTATTGCTTAATTTTCATTTCATCAAGTACCAAGGTATAATAAATTTTTTTATCAGGGTTACTCTCCGCTCTCAATTTTAATGCCGTCAGCGCTTCTTGAGTAAACCCTGGTCGGCGATCGATGGTAGTGTACTACTTAGTCAATGTACATGGTGCAGGCAAACATGTTCCAAAAGTTTTATGTATATAGCGGTAGGCTTTTGGTGAGTGATAGTAAAGTTTTAGGGCAAAGTATTTTTTTGCAAACTTGTGAAGCCTGTTTATGCTATTGTTTTTTATGTCAAGGCATTTTTTCATTTTAATTTTCCTTGGCCTAAGTGTTGGTTCGTACTCGCAGAGGTAGTAGGACTAGTTCGGGCTATATAAGGATTTTTTTTCGAATTGTGACTTTCGAGATAACTTATGGAATTTTGCTGGAACATCCAGCTTTCTTTTTTCGATGTAGACGATATTGTGCAATCACCACGATCATCCTAAAATAAATAATTTACCTAGGTAAGTCAGAAGATTCTAGCTATATATATAGTAAAGTAAAGTTACAGCCTATATACGTCCCACTGCTGGGCACAGGCCTCCCCTCATTTCTGAGAGGGTTTTAGGGCAAGGAAGTGTCCGCCGCGCTGCCCCAATGCGTGTTGGCGAACTTCACATGTCTTCGAAATATTTTTTTCTTATTCCTCAGACATGCAGGTTTCCTCACGATGTTTTCCTTCATCGCCGAGCACGTGGTATATCAGCACTTAAAATTGCAATTAACAATTTCATTGGTGCCGGCGGGGATCGAACCCGGGTTTCTCGCGTTCTGTTATATTTACAGCGAGCGCTAACCATCTGAGCTACCACGGCTCTCTCTCTCTCTCTCTCTCTCTCTCTATCTCTCTTCTATATATATATATATATATATATATATATATATATATATATATAAATTATACTACGTTAAGTTTACAATTACAATAATAGGTATATAAATATATGGATTAAATTTGATAGGTTAGTGCTTTTGTAAACTTAATAAAATATTTTCAAGTAGAATAATATTGGTATCAAGGTAATAATAAAAATATTTAATCTAAATAAAATTACAGCCCAACATTACCTCCCACAAGTTCAAGGTTGGTACTGCAGTGTCAGATTCATGGTTTCTACAAGCTACAATCCAAGTGTGCCGCCTAAGAGGATCTCTTGGAAATCTGTAATAACAAACCAATAATAGAAAAATTTACTACTTTTTGTAATACTTTATTATAAAATCTAAATAAAAACTACAAACCGGTTCGGCAGACAAACCCGCATGGTTAATTAACTTATCTATAGCTAAAGTTGCGGCGTTCATCACTATAGTGCAATACTTTCGGTTGCAGTGATACCAGTTTATTTTTATAAAAAGCTGCGAGGAAGCAAGTTTCGATTTGACTTATTTGGCCTTTATTTTGTATAATATTTTAATATATACTAGTTATCGATTATATTTAATTATATAATATTCAGTATCGTGTTAAAATTGAGCTGAATATCTAAATCATTTAACAAAATCCACTACACATCTATTTGTAATGATTATTATTGATCACAAACTGATTTAGTTATTAGGAAATATATTTTCGTTAATA